ATATAATGTCTGGAGAACTTTGTATGATCGGAAATGCAAAAAAAGAAGGAGGGAAGAAGGAGAAGGATGGGAAAGAGAATGTTTATCCAGTACCCGACCGAGTTACATTTTCTCGCAATTCACACTGTCTCTTATACACATCTAGATGTGTATAAGAGACAGTTTTCGTACAGCACGTTCCACAGATCTTGCACTTCTTCAATTTTACGAAAAAATCAAACTCACTATCAAACAAACAGCATACAATTGGTATTTTTTTAGATTTGTCCAAGGCCTTTGACACCATAAATTATGAGATTTTGCTTAATAAATTGCGTAATTATGGTGTCAGAGGTCTTTCACTTGATCTTATTAAGGATTATCTATCCAACCGCCGTCAATATACTTCAATAAACTCAATAACCTCTGAATCAATGCCTGTGACGTGCGGTATCCCACAAGGATCAATCCTTGGTCCCCTGCTCTTTCTAATTTATGTAAATTATCTACCTAATGTTTCAAAGTTATTTAACTTCATTTTATTTGCAGACGATACTAACATTCTTTTTTCCCATGAAAATAACCACACACTCTTAACAACAATCAAGGACAAACTTAAAAAAGTCTCTCTCTGGTTTAAAGCAAACAGACTATCGCTCAATATATCAAAAACGAACTATAATCTACTTTAAAAATAGTAAAAAAAGCAATAATCTCTCTGCTGATATAACCATTGATGGACACCCAATTAAAAAAACTGATAGTCTGAAATTTCTTGGGGTGACAATTGACTCTGAATTAAGTTGGAAACCGCACATTGCCACCATAAATAAAACTGTCTCACGAAATATTGGAATGTTTACTAAATTACGACACACTTTTCCACCAAATATTTTGTTTTCCCTTTACAACACCCTCATTTTACCTTACCTATCCTATTGCAATATTGCATGGGCCACAACTACCGACAAGTTTGTTTATTGTTGCCCCTGGACAAGTTCTGAAACTACAAAAATCCATTGTCTTTTTAAACAGCAAAAAAAAGCTCTCAGAGCTTGCGCAGGAGCACCACCTAGAGCTCATACTAAACAATTGTTTTATTCGTTTAATACTCTAAATATTTTTTATATAAACAAACTCCAGACTGCATTGTTTATGTTCCGTTTAAGCAATAATCAACTTCCGTCTCAATTTTATTCATATTTTAAAAGTTTAAATCAACAACATTCTTATAATACCAGATCTGCAACTGCAAAAAATTTAATTTACGAGAGACATTCCACCTCTCTAAGAAGAACATCCTTTATTTACACCGGACCATGTCTGTGGAATAATCTGCCATCTGAACCCAAGGAAGTTCCTAATATTAACTCCTTTAAACATAGATACAAAAACATTCTAGTTCAAAATTACATATTTTAATAATATAAAGATCGCTCCCCTTTTTCTCTTTTATTATATATTATCTTTGTTCTGTTCTGATGCTGTTAGTACTTTTTCACTTATTTTATCGGCCTTTTGTTATTATTATTATTATTATTATTATTATTTTTGGCCTTTTATTATTACTTGCTTTATTATTACTTGCATATTTTATTCTTTATTTTTGTTTCACGACCTCTTGTTTTAATTACAAATAAAATTATTATTATTAATTTATCTTTTCTATCACTTCTTATTTTACAAATATTTTACTCTCCTTGTAATTAACCTTACAGTTCTGATGAATTAATTTAGGCCTTCTTTCACTCGCAATACTACTTAGCTTAAGTTAATTGGAGGCACAGACTTAAAACCTTAATGGCTTATTGTGTCCTCCGCACACAACCTTTCTTTTATTATTATAATTATTATTATTATTATATTTACTATTATTATTATTATTATTACTATCATTATTATCATTATTATTGCTATAAATTTTATTATTATAAATGTTGTTATTTATTTACCTTTCTGAAGAATTTTATATTGTATTTTTTTCGTTGTGTGAAATAAAATAAAATGAAATGAAAATTCATTACTTTATTAACTCAGTGCACATCCTAATGAATTGTTTTAATGATGTGGCAATGAAATGTCTGTTGTTATTGAAATTATCTGTTTTAATCAATAATTCTTTTTGATTGATAATTCATCTCCACTCTCCATTGGATTACAATATAACAAAATAAATATAGGTAAAATATATGTCTGAAAATAAGAATTTATTTTCTTTCTTTCGTGTATGTTTATAAAGCAAGTACAACATTAAACATGCAAGCTAATCTAATTAGCTTTAATTATATAATAAATGTCAGATTACAATAATTATAATCTAATATAATTTTGAGTATAAGAAGCCTAGTAATAACAACAAAATAAATTTGATAAATACAGGTTTCCCTCTAATTAAATATAACACCTAAATTTAAAGGCAATTTCTGCAACACTTATCATTTTATCGTTTAGAGCTATTACTTTTCTACTTAGAGCAGATGGTGTTTAAGTCATTCAACTTTAGTCACAAAAGTGGTACAGTATTTTATTGGAGGGTGCCTATATAAAAATAAAGTTAACATAAAACTGAAATTATATAGCATATATTTTCATGCTGCTGTTATTAACATAAATTAGCATTCTAATAATTAATAATAAAATAACTACTTGGAATTAACAGCTCAGTATTTCAAGGTTGCTCTATATAAAAAAAACTCATTTATATGGTTTACTTATAAGTCCATATTACCTGTACTTATAAATATCCCATAATCTAAAAATCACTAGCAATAAAATAAATATATATATAGTTTATTTTGTTACCGATGCCAACACTGGTTTGTGCAATAATAGTGATTAAGTTTACAAGTCATAATTAATTAATTAATTAAACTGGAAATATGCTTAGTCTTTTAAGTTACGCAAATCAAGTACATTTATTGAACCTTTAATCAGAACACCTAATGACAGTTTTATTCTTCAGAATATCAATAGAATAATATGTAACTACATGAATGTAATTATCCAGTAAAATCCTGTGGAATCTGGACATTGCTAAATTATCCATCAAAAACGATTTCTATATCTTTGACAGAAAATAATTAAGCTGTTAGCTCTCATTGCCTGCACAGGATATTTATCTGGGGCCATTTTAAGGAGCACTGATGTCAAACTACAGTACTTCCTTAAAACATGAAATATGCTGAAGCGTGCAGGGCTTCTTCCCAGTGTAGTGTGCCCCCAAAGAAGTTATAATCTAATATAATTTTGAGTATAAGAAGCCTAGTAATAACAACAAAATAAATGGTAATTATAAATTTTGTTACCGATGCCAACACTGGTTTGTGCAATAATAGTGATTAAGTTTACAAGTCATAATTACACTGGAAATATGATTAGTCGTTTAATTTACGCAAATCAAGTACATTTATTGAACCTTTAATCAGAGCACCTGATGACAGTTTTATCCTTAAGAATATCAATAGAATATATAACTACTTATAGCCAGGGGAGCCGGGCTCCCCACTTTTTGGCAAAAAATATATAATGTCTGACGATTTTTGTATGGGAAGGAGGAGAAGGATGGGAAAGAGAATATTTATCCAGTCCCCAACCGAGTTACATTTTCTCGCAATTCACATTGGCGGATATGTGCAAGGGGGTCATGGGTCCTGACCCCTCCCCTGTGAGCTGTTTTTTTTTTTTTTTTTTTTTTTTTACAATAAAAAAAATTGAATTTTGAAGAACATAAGTCATTAAAACACACTTCAAATGTCGGGAAAGCTCATTCGGAAAAATTTACCTGACCGTTTTCAAGAGGGGAAAACTTTGAATTTTGAAGAACATAAAAAAGTCAATTAAAAGACATTTCCGAAGTCAGGAAAGCTTATTTCCGGCATTCTAGAAATCGAAATTTTCCCAGGGGAACCCGTACCCCCCTTTTTTTGGGGGGGTTCATTGATTCATTGAATCATTTTCAAGAGGGGGAAAACCTTCCTTAAAACATGAAATAAGCTGAAGCGTGCAAGGCTTCTTCCCAGTGTAGTGTGGCCCCAATGAAGCCTTTCAGGGGTCTCAGACTGTTACACCACTGTCTCTATTATCATCATCATCAGGCTTGTGCCATCAACATGATTTAAGTATAGAATATTACTAAATATATATTTATATTGGATAATTTTATCGCATATATTTTTAAAAGATGTGAAAGCATGCTTGATGCACCTACTGTAAGAGAGTCACCAGCAAATACAGCATAATGCTGTAATTTGTGAGCTACTGTACAGAAATCTTGATTCATATTAATCCTAAAGACACTTATTTCATTAATTTACATACAAAAAATAAAACTTAATTGCCAAAATAGGAACAATTTGGGAATAACAGGACTTTACAGAATGGATCAATGTTTAAAATTTATTTCTACATATAAGAGATTAAACGTATATAATATGTTTAATATCATTTAGTAGCATACATTCTTCAGTGTTCTAATGAGAACAAAAAAGAATTTCGTCAATTTCATTGAACAAGCCAAAAAAAATGGAAAAAATACAATATAAGAAACAATAATGTAGATCTATCAGGAGATTGCTGCAAACACGCTGCAAAAACACAAATAATTTGGGAATATATGGTGATGTTTTTTCAAACTTAATATTTTGTAAACATTTGATGTCAAAATCTGAACAATTCAGTACTATATTTTTAAACAACATATTTTTTAGCAGTTTCTTTAGATTTCATTTATAATAATGGAAAACAGAAATATCAAATAACAAATTTTTCCTGTATTCCTGGTTTATCGGAGTGAAATGAAGTACAGCTTTATGGTCAAGATGCTTTCATTCTAATTGCAGATTCCATGGTTGAAATCTTGGAAATGGAATTTATTGGTGGGGAACTCGTGGCTGGGGCTCTCAGTCTTAAGATTGGCAGCAGTTGGTGGTTAACTTGTGACTAGAGCTCTCAGCCACAAAGTTGAGAATAGTTGGTAGTGCAGCCCAGGCTTGGAGTGTGCTTTAAATATCAATTCTGCATGTGCCATCAGACCACTCCACTTATGTTTAACTTTGTCAACACAGGAGTATAAATGTGTTCATGAGAAAATGGAATGAAAACTCCTGTAGTGAATTCCCCTGTCAACTAAAAATACTCCTTAGAAAAGAGAAGCTGCAAATGGTACATGGGTGACAATATATCTTAACAGCCCCAACAACATTATACTAGCACTTACATATTTGCTATGATTTGGTCAAACTTTTTGTTTATCAAAAAGAAAAATTAAATTATTGTTTTCAGGTGTAATATTTAAATGAATTGTATTTGATAAAAACAAAATGTAGTTTAAAAAACTGAGAGAAAAATGCTAGTTGATTGGTATGAAATGGTCAACATGAATTTTAACCTTACATTACATCTATTTCTACTGTGTTGCAGTTCAGGGATGGCGCCAGCGGGGAAAAAGGTCCCCCGTCGGGGAGAAAAAGCACAATTCGTCGGGGAGAAAAAATATTATATGTATTTTTTAAATATTAGTAGACTCATAAAATCGATGAAATAAGCCTTTGAAACACCTAAATTGTCAAAATTTTTGTTGGCTTCGCCCCCCCCCCCCAGGGCCTCTTTAAGAAGCTTTTAATTGAAGCTCGACCACACCCACTTTGCTTTCGTCGGGGAAATCTGACACCTCGCTCACCCCCTCGTCAGGCAACTCTTGGCGCCAACCCTGTTGGAATTAACTTTAATATTCAACTAATATACATTTAACAGTATATTAAAGTAAATTTCTACACACAATAAATTTATCAATTAGAATACAATACCTGTATAACAAATTATAGTGTAATAATGCAAAACTAAAATCTTTTCACACAAACAATAAAACAATAAGAATCATTTGCATCTGGGTTTAACGGTTTGAATTCGATGTTATCATAAATATAAATTCCTTAAAAAACATTAATTACTAATCACATAGCACCATTGGTAAACGTTTATAATTCGGAAGAAAAACCATATTTGCTATATCATCTTTGCTTTTTATATTATTTCAATATGGATGACTATACATTTTTGAAAATTGATTCCAGTTAAGAATTAGGGAACAGTGATGGTTCCAGTATTTGCCTCAAAGGGCTTTGATGTCTCTTTATGTCCCCAGTGGAAGGGTTAAGGCATATCCCCGACAACAGCAGAAGTGGGCGCCACTACTGAATTGGAATTAGGTGTTGTGAATTTTTAATGTAGATGTCCAAGAGTACGAGAATCTCCATTTTAACCTAGTACTGACTATGTTAATACTAATCTAATATATATATTGGTCAAGATTATTTTATCAGTCGCTTAAAATAAATGTAAAATAAGTTGCCTCTTCAGTTTCAATGTCACTTTTGAAACACCTGATGTTCCAGACAAACCTATATATTTTTGGAGTTGAAGTTTCATATCAAAATCACTTCATCTATAATAAACTTTTAAAAAACATTCTTTCAAAAATACCATCTGAAAAATATAGGTATGATTAATGACAATGTTCATTTATATCCACCACGATGGCTTTTTTCCAACCGAATAAAAAATATCCAGTACCAGCTCCGAGTGCAACTGCAATGCATAACCAGCCATTATATGTCATGAAGATCAGCATGAGAAAGTAGCTGATGGTGACTTGGACTACATGTAAGAGTGTCTGTAAGAAGTGCGCACCACTCAACCAACGAGTTCTGCAAAAAACAATGATCATGAAACTGTCAAGGAGGAGCTCTTATGCAATTTTGATAATGTTAAGAACATGTAGAAGTTCCGGCCACTGTCTGGCAATGTGGGTATCATTTTAAAGCTCTCTAATATTGTGGTGCATTATAGTCTTAAACAAAACAAACAACAATAATGTGGCTCTCTGATTTGTGGATCTTTTTTTCCACAACACATTTGAGTTGAATGAAGTGCGCCACCACACTTATTCAACTTTCTGCTTTGTGTAATAATCTTACAGATGCAGGAATAACAATGACTTGATGTGAATATTCCAAATGCTGAAGGCATTGGTCTATGCTGAATTAATGGAATTAGAAAGTATAATACATACTCCAAGTATTGAAATACATGCCACCGTGTTGGGATTCAATATTTAAACATTAATGCACCTTTCCGCTAAGCCCCGCCCCTCGGATGTTGTTGCTAAGGTCCCTCAAGACAACAGTGTTACATACGCTAACATGTGCGTTTATGTAACAACACGTGTGTTTGTGAGATGCGTGCGTATTCCTAGCGTTGTTCTGATTGGTCCATTGTTAAGTTTGATTGACACTTCGGATAGGTGTATTATGTCATCATCATTCCTGATGATGACATAATTAATGTCAAAATATTGAATCCCAAAATGATGGCATGTATTTCAATACTTGGAGTATGTATTATACTTTCTTATCTGAGAATAATCAGTGGACCTTTTGGTTAATGGAATTTATATATATATATATATATTCACGGACTAGTGCTGTCTTGTTAAGAATTTTGTAGGACGCATTAAGAATGACAAAATATTCTCTGTATCTACTGGAACCGAGCCGCATAGCTTGTATTCCACTATTTGCATTCACACCTGGGCTGTGTATATATATTGCCTTGGTTTGGCTCTGTAATCATTAGCGGTCGTGGGACTAGTTTGGGCCCTGCCTAAGCTGGTCGAACGTTTCGTTTGGGTCTATACCCTAGCTGCACTGATGAGGCCTGGAAGGCCGAAACGGATCGAAAGCATCTGTGCATATCGAATCTAAAGAAAATAAGGCTAAAATTACTATTTCTTTGAAATGACCAAAAACTGCCTACTCTTTCAAGGCCCTTAATACCTGTCTCTTATACAATGAAAATTATTTCAAATTATAGTATATTCTTATATTTTTGTAAAACAAAGGAATAAAAACATAAAAAAGAGGTTTATTTTACAACATTATATGTGAAAAAAGTGGTAGTGGATCACATAACGCAATAGTGATTAGCTTCCCTGTGGAAGTCTTGTCCAACCAGCCAGTGAAATACATTGCATTGTCTGGCTTTCACATTAAAATGAAAAAAAAATTTAAAAATCAGAAAATTAGCAATCTTGTTTTTGTCTTTTATTACTTACTCTCCTGCCCCATGTGTTTCTGTCAAAACAGTTTCACTTCCCTTTGCAACCTGCATGGTCTTGTAGCGTACATTGACAACGGAACGACGCAGCAATGTTTCTCGCATCACTTTTAATCCCTCGTACAAGACAGCAAGGAAAAATACAGCAACACACGATCCTATTAAACCTATATGATACGTACGGTATATATTTAAAGGAGGTTAGGATCGGTTCAACAAAATAAAAATGTTAGTCACATTGCCTATGGGGAAAGAACAATATACAAAATAGGCCTATAACTTCAACCTTACTGGTTTCCTAAGGTCTAGATTTGTAAGATAACAAATACATATTTCAAGGAAAAATGATTTCAAAAAAATATGAAACAATATAGCGCGAAAATATGCCACTTGTATTTTCAATTGTACATGCCTATGTCAAACATCAAAAAATTTAACCAAGCACACTTTTGATATATTTTGATAGGCTTGATTATTTGTTTATGTGCCTGACCTTCGAAAATGTCAGACAATGCTTTGCAATTACCTACAGTACCTTTTGAAATGCGATTCTAAACAATTTAAAAATGAATTAAATTATTTATTTGTTAAGTACAGTAGGCTACATTATTAGCTTCAATTGATTGTTTTAATTCAATTTAAAGAAAAGTATTTTACTTGCCTAATAACCGACACATAAACTATTTCCACTGTATATATAGACCCATTGGCTAGTAAGCAATTTAAAAATGTTGTAAATTGCTAAAAACTTTGGTTTTCTATGATTTGGATTTTTGGGCTTTTTAAAAATTTATGACACCTATAATACAACATAAAATAATCTTGTTAAAAATTATAAGAAATTAATTTTCTTCGTTATTTCAGTAGGAATTTAAAACATACTATTCTCAATATTTTAGTTATTTATTTTAACTTTTAATTCTGAAGTAGCTAAGAAACCGTCTTACCATCGAACTCGGACAAATGAAGGTATTTTGTGAAACTTACCTCCAACTGAGCTTACTTTCCATTCATCAAATAAGATTGTTACACTCGTACTCAAGTAGAAAGTCATCTAAAAAAATTTAAAAAAAAAACAAATTTGAAAAATAAATATTGTAAACAGTGGTGGCGCTATACCAGATAAAGCGACTAGAGCATTTCAAGTATAAACGTGGCTGGCGCTACAGTGGCCACACCAAGGGGAAGGGTTTAAGTCATAACTTAACCCACATACAAGGGCAACCATCTTGATTCCCAAGGTACAGTGCCTCAGATCAAACACAGTAAAAAGAAATTTAGTTATAAGTAAATTATGGAACCTTCAAACTTAAAATTAGATTGTATTTTTGCCTTCTGTTCCCCCGTTATTTATTTAATTACTTACTTATTTATTTTTTATTTATAGTAATATTGTAGTTTTTATGATATAATCTCAATTTTAACTTTTTTGCTTGAATTTTTTATATTGAATAAAATCCATGAATGAAAATGAATGAATTATTTTGTTCATATAAGAATGCTTATTAGTTGACAACAGACAAAATATTTATTCCTTTTTTCAAATGATCATAACATCTTAATTGTAGTGGTAACTGCTATGTAGTTAGCACTATCTTGCCAAATGCTACATACAAGCATGCATACAGAAGGAAATTAAGAATTAAGAGAGTTACTGTGTTGGCTACAGTCCAAGCATAAATGATTCAAATAACATCAAAATAACTTGAATATCCTTCTTGAGCTCATGCTGAGTTTAGGCCTAGTATTGTGGGAAAACAAATCTGGTTCGAACAGGGGAACACAAATTGATGTTCATATTCATTCTATAGACTCCTGAATTGTAATTTAGGCATATTGATTAATTGTCAGTGGCAATTTAACAGGGGAGGGGAAGCACTGGTCCAGCTCACTAAATTTGTCAAAATTTCTGGCTATATAGAAGTGCCATAATCATACACCATGGTGGGTATATCAACCCCAACCATGGTGGGGATGAGGTGGTGCCTCATCCTACCCCTACTGTTAAAGCTACTACCCCTTCTATTTTGAATTCCTGAATATGCCACATATTGTGATGACATATGACATATCTTTCATGATATGTACATTAAAAGGATTTTTGCAGAATGTTCTTATAAAAGCATTACTTTATGAATATCAACAAGGGACAAAGGACTCCTCCATTAACATACATGGTGAGGAGGACACTAACAATTATTACAACAGATACATTAGATGCATTAAGCTGGAAAGAACATTTACTTGTACTGTAGTTGTATTAAGTGTTTACATGGTTATGCACCATCATATTTATATTCAATGTTTATGTTTAATGATGGTGTCCATCCCAAATGCACTCAAAGTCAAAGCAGAAAACCTCAGTAGTACGAAACTGGGAAAATACTCAAAGAAAATGAACTTTTCAATACCAATCAGCCAAACTTTAGAATAATCTACCTAAAATAAAATAATCTAATAAAATCAGAAAAATGCAACTAATATGACCAATTTCAAAAATACCATTTGTGCTCATTTACTTTAAAATGAATTTTTTTTATAAGGTTATTTGCAATTTTAACTTTTTTTCTTTTTCTTTTCTCTTTTATTTTTGATAATGTTTTGTTCTGTTTAATATTTTACTTCAGTTTATATTCTTAACTTTGTTAAGAAAACTGGACCATTTTGAAAAGCAGTACTGCGCTACTAAAAATGCTATCCAGTCAAAAGAAAGAATAAATAAATATATATATATATTGCAGCGGTGGATCCAAAAATTTTAATTAGCGGGTGGTATGGGAGGGGGTTTAATTTCACCGATGTAAAGAAATTTTAAGTCTATGACAGCTCCTGATAGTAGGTAAAGGCACTGTCAATTTGAATGCAATTATATTTTTCCTCATTATCTTTTAATCCCAAAAAAAGACATACATGGGGCTTAGGTCAACTGCCCCCTTCCCCCTTATTCCACCTTGAATATGCTACTGTATGCCTTAATACATCTCTAGGGCCATTCCATCACATGGAGAAACACTTACAGACTACAAAATCAGTCATCAGTATCCTAAATGTAACTGGAGCAAATAATTTGATGTAAATTTTGCGCATGGTTCAGTGAAATTTCCTGAATACATTGCTCAAGAGTGTGGTAAAAACAAAACGTTATATCAATGTGAGGTTTGACACACTTTATGTGTACATGCAGCTATTTTATGTTGGGTACGATTTCTATCATAGACAGGAGTACAAATATGCAGTGCAAGACACTGAAATGAACTATTGATAAATGATATTACAGTAGTTTTCTTTAAAATTGTGCAACATCAATGAAAAGAAGAAAATAAACCTGATTTTTATTGCACACGTAGTAAAACCAAGTTTTTTTTAAATACTGTATCATATTCTGGATATAGTAATTAAGTTGAATACAATGTATGCAGTAGTACAGTTCATAATTGCAGGTATTCTTTCATAATGAATACAATGGAAACTACTATTTATTTTATTGACAATAAAAAGTAAGGGTATAGATTTCATATTGACATTGTAGATGGGTACAGGTCTAATAGTACAGTACTGTAGTATACAATATCTTCAAATTCACACAAAAGTATTAAAAATTCATATAGTAATTATGATCACTTTAATGTATTTCTGGATGCAATGAATATTAAATACTTCCTTTTTATAAAAAAATTTATGTTTAGTATACTGTACTACATAATGCCTAGAAAGCATCTGTGCATATCGAATCTAAAGAAAATAAGGCTAAAATTACTATTTCTTTGAAATGACCAAAAACTGCCTACTCTTTCTAGGCCCTTAATACCCACGGCCAGGCTCTGTTGGAAATGGTCGGATTCCCTGTTGAATAGATATATCCTGCTAAATGTCAGAGCCATGACTGGCTGGTAAGTACTGTATTATGACATTTAAACTCAATTTCAGTTGATATTTGATAAAGGATTAGATTTTTGACATACTCTACTCTACATGTTGTTTCTGTGTGATTTTGGTGCTGTGAAGAACATCTTCAAATAATTACTAAAATACAATGTAAAAATATTGCTATCACCTGTCTGACAAACAAAATCCTCATTGTTTCCTTATTGATTCAGTCTCATAATATTTCATGGGTGAGCATAGAACAACAACTTTCACATGATTGTCAAAGTCTATAAGGAGTATCTAATAGATTACAGGATTCTGGGGCTGTAGACAATGGTTGGGCAGTGGCTGTGAGGCTGACTGCAGTGAATAGCTTGTAGAGTGGAGGTCTGTACCACTGCACTCTGCTAGAAGTTTGCAAACATTCTTTGGTTGTGCAACAGTATAGTACTACACTGTACATTAAAGTCTAATAGAAAATTTGTCAAAACTTAATTTGGTATTTCACACTCACAGACTCCTCTTCTTTAATGTTCAAAATTGATATATTACAGCATTACTGCAAGATAGTTCAGATTTTACCTCTATCATGATTTATTATAAATGTATTTCTTTGTAGACCATGACTTGTCAAATTCTTATTGTAAGAGGGTGTATCATACTGATCTCAGATATTTGCCATGCATCAAGGACTAGTGCTGTCCAAATATGCATGTGCAATTGAGTGTGAGGAATTCTAAACTGACTGAATTACCAGCAAAGCCTTTATGGCCCAGTTGGTTAAGGCTTATCCACAATCATTCATATTAGAATTTTACGTTTAATCATTGGTTAAAATAATTTTTATTTTACTACTGTCCGTCATAAATTAAAATATCATTTGCATTAAAGTTCAGCTAGGCACGTTGTATCCAAATCAATTTTTTAAATTAATTAATTAAACAATATCATATAAATAAGCTCTTAATACCAATTATATAACCAGCATTAATCATTAGTCTTGTAATGTATAGATTAATATGAAAATTAGGCCTAAAATTGTTATACCTTTTCTTTCAATCTGTTTAAAAAAGCTCTTCAAACACCTTTACAGCTTTGCATTAGACAAACATATGTTCATAGTCATCAGTGATGTGGCAAATTTTAGCCATTTGCTTTGAACTTTTCAAAATGTAAATTTGGTATTTAATAGAACAATTAGTCATTAGGAATACACTGCAACATAATATAGTAGGAATACACTGCAATATAATATTTAGCTCAGTAATTTCTAATATAGTATAAAAAATTTCCATAAATTACTTATTCTTTATAGTTTACCTTTGAAGGTTCTTGTGAGTTTTGCTAACTAATCATTAAAAATCCATATAAATAATTTCACAAAATTCAGAAAATACAAACCCGATATAATTTCCAAAATTAAAATAAAGATACAAATGCAATACTGTACCTGCATCATATGATTCATCCCACCATCACTACCATGATCCCCATGGTCCATAGTATGGTCCATAGTATGGTCCATACCCATAGTATGGCCCATGTGACCAGTGTGGGGCATTCCAGATGGTCCCATACCCATGCTGTGGTTCATTGGCATGGCCGTTGAATTCGTATCCATGTTCATTTTTCTGAAATTAAGAAACAAGAAATTGCACAATGATGTTAACATACAAGAAGTCTACGATGCTCCAAATACGAGAGAAAAGCTGCACTCACATTGGATCAAAAACAAAATTTGGATCGTATTTCTGATACATTGAATGCCAGTGTGCTTATGCTTACACACTGATTCAATTTTGTTATGTAGTAGTAAAACTTTATTCATGAGTCACAAATCAACAAATACAATGCTGTTTTTCAATATGGCTATAAGATATCACATTTATAATTAATATAAATTACACATTACTGTACATCATCGATTCGGTAGGCCCACTGATCTGATAATTTGGATTCAGTGTAAATGAGGCTTACCATGACAAAGTTAATTTCATCATGAAATTAAAAATGTTATTGTACAGTATTACAACTGTGATCAATCTATCCTAATAATAGTACTGTAGTTGCTTTTAATGGTACAGTACTATACTTACGGATGATTTTTTTTTTTTTTTTATACATAATAGTCAGGCCCGTATCCAGGGGGGTTTTTATGGTTCAGGAGAACCCCCCTTTCTAGCAAATCCCCATCTTTTTTGGCGAACCCCCCTCTTCAAATTTCCCAAATAAGTCCTTCAACTCAACTAATGCACTGCAGACCCACCCAGACAACAGACGTTTTCAAACATGTCTGCTTTTTATAGCATTATTTAGAGCAATAAAGCACAAAAATCCTCTTGATTTGGGGGTTTCGCTGACCCCACCGGGGCCTCGAACTTGGACCTCACGCCCAGAAAACCCCCTCTTGGAAGAACCTAGATATGGGCCTGATAGTGGATAGAGCCGTATTACTATTAGTCTGGTAGATGTAAGAAAAAAAAATGGTGGTACTTCATAGACTTATATTTAATACACTAGTTGCCAGCAGTCTATGCTAGCATCGTCAGGTGTAGTGAAGTGGTACATAGATGAGGAGAATATAAGCTTTGAGCATAGCTTTTTTATTCAAAATTTTAAAATGTAAAAAAACTACTGTACATAATAACAAAATTTATAATACACGCCTACTATACCAGTATTTTCAGATCTAAAGTAATTTTTTTGCATATATCAATTCGACCGTAAAAAGGTCAATTATATAGAACCATGCCCTTTTTTCTAACATTGTATCAGTGTTACATTCATATGGTGCAAAGATCAGCAATGACAAGTAAAGCAGAAATTAAGTTTAGTACATTACCATACACTACTGGTATCAACTATTCTGCTTGCTAAAGTAGCTAGATTACCTTGGGCCTCAGGTACAATATAACAATAACAGTACAGTATATGTTATCTTGAAACATAATGCAAAATGCTCCTCTCATGTATAGGCCCATCAATAATTTCTACAATATGTACCTCAGCTATAACAATTTCTAAAGTACAGTATATTGAACCAAGCATTAAAATGTAAATAGGCCCACAACAATGCATACGTTTACAGGTACTGAACTGATGTATGTTCTTTTGAACTTGAAAATTAATAATTTGTCTTTTCTTATGTCACCATTAATACAAGGGTGGATCTTGTGATTTAGTATCCAAATACAGGAACTTGATGTTAAAAGATTAAAGAATGATGGTACAGTACTTCGAAAAAGTAGTCTCGAAATTGCAGGGTAACTGAATTTAAAACTTTCAATATAAGCTATAAGTTCAGTATTTTATTCATAAAACAATTTGAAAAAAAAAAATATGCTAACAGTAACAAAGAATTTTTAAATCTTGAAAAAGAGTTAAATTCACAGCAGGGTTCTCATGAATGATGAGATCGTTTGACTTTCCAAATTTAGTTTCCACCTGTTTTTCTAATGATGTGGATGTGCAATTACTACACTAGTCGACATGAAACAGGCTGTGAGTGAGTCATACAGTTCTAAAGAGCTGACTGATTTTAAGTGGTTCAATCAACTAGAGATACTACTTTATTTTTATATAACAATTTAATCAAATCAAATCAAAACCTTCTTTATTTTGGACAATACTGTTTCAATACATCTGTTACTGGTCTTTCAGGTATAATTTGATTAGAAAATATGCTATGCCATTGTTTATTATCAGTTATTCAATGTCTGGTTAAAATGGTACTGTATTTGTTACAGTATAAGTATGTTAATTACTTGCCCTGTACCAATACACTCACTATCAGCATTGTATAATACCATGAGATTACCATCAGTATTGTACTGTAATGTGCAAACAATCAGTATTGTACTGTAATCAGTACACAAAATCAGTATTTTGTAACGCTGTATCATCATACTGTACAGTGGCAGATCCAGTGGGGGAGAGGGGCACAGGGCATGTGCCACCCCCCTCCCCCTGTTTTGCCACTGAATTTTAAAATTTCAAGGCATATATTGAAATTAGCACTCTCACTTATCTATTCCGAATACGTTGTGCCTCCCCCCCACCCCCGTTTGAAAAACTGGATCCACCCCTGCTGTACCATACCATCATTGGTTGATAATCCGATGAGCAATGTCTGCCTTTTGATTCTGGTGGCCGCTTCACATTTCACTTGATTTTGATTATGTTCTACTATCTTGCTAATATTAACTAAGATTCGTTTTTGTTTTTTTTTTTTTGCTTTTTTTTTAATGAAATCTGTTATATATACTTGTGGTTCCCTGGTGCTTCACAAAAATATTTTGTATTTTTGTGAAAGTAAATATTAATTATTAGGCCTATATTTATACAAAGTTTTTTTAATTGTGTACTTTATTTCTTGGGACACACCTTCAAAATTTTGAAGTAAATAAATTCTGAACAAATTAATTACTATGAAGTTGTTTCTCTACATACATGACATCATCATTAACCAGAAGCTTTACTTACAACACACTTTGCGAGATAGACAACATTCAAACACACCATGATAATTCCTCCTCTCCGAATAATAGCTCATCTATTTTTTTTTAAATCTCCTATTGCCAATTGTGCGTATATGATTTTGTTTTTGGCAATAAAAGTTGAAAGTTATATTAGTATTCAAATAAAACCATAATTAAACTTTGTTCTCAACAAAAGAAAATATTTCATTGTAGTGAAAACAAGAGTGTGATCTTCGTTTTAGGTTAGGTTGAACCACTGTAGGTCAAATTAGGCCTCTACAGTATTTGCGTTTCAGCAAAAACTAAATACCTGTAGTAAAAAAAAAATTCCTGAACAAGCAAATCTGATTTCCAATTACAGAAGTTAAAAAATGCAAATACTATATCATGAATTTGTGGGAGATAAGTTTGATTCTAGAACAAATTTTTCTGAAGCCTCATTTCTAGGAGATTTGTGAAAGACTTAAAATCGCTGCCTTATTGTACAAACTTCCTTATTCTTCAACTTCCTTGACTGGAACATGACACAATAATTGAAAACTACCTCAACCATTTACTGTGTACCAGTCCTGCCATGGTATCTGACAATTATTGCTTTGCTTAAAATCAATTCAGTTATTTCTTCATGAATGAGTTGTAATGTAAGCTTCCTGTTCACCTGGTCCTTGTCTCCATATGGACCAGTAATAGCAACCATACCACAAGGGACAACAATGATCTTTTAAAAGCACTTTGTACGTCACTATTGGAACTAACGTTCACTGCATGCTTCATTAGTAAAATTACGCCTCCACGTACACAATCAACAAATTTTATTGTCTCTACATTAACAAATTTTAAAGTAGCAGTTCATTCCAATTTAAAGGCCAAATTATTATTTTTCTTCTTTCAGTGACTTTAAACACCATAAACGAATAATAAAAATCTAATTAGAATACATATTACTGTAATAGATGTTAATATGGTAGGCAGTTTGCATCTCGTTTTGTAACAATCATCCACAAAATTTAGATCAATTGAAAATTCAATTTAATGATGATTACTACAGTATAAACAATAAAATTCATAAACAGGAAAAGTCAATACATACTATATACCAGTACTGCTGTATACATACCTACACTAGGGATTAGTATACTTAATTAACAAAATCAAGTGATTTGCCAACAAAATGTTTTGCTCTCCTTGATATTATCAGCTCTATCACTATAACTTCCTACCTTTTCTTAAAAATTTTTTTTAAAATGTAAAATCTGTATATTTCACATAGAATTTCAATTCAAAAAAAATATAAGTACTTGACTTGATGGATGATAAATATTTAAGAAAAGCATCTTTTAAAAAATCCATAAATTATGGTACAAGAACATGGAAAAATAAGTATAATGGAATTTAAAAAGTTATAAAAATATATAAGCAAAAGAAAGAAAAAAAAACATAGAAAACGGATGATGAGTGTAATGTGTAGACTGTAATTGTTGTGAGTTTTAAAGTAGTTTAAATATCAGTCTGTCATCAAATTTGGAAAAGCCTAAAAAATTAAATACATAATACTCAAAATACATACATCATTTAAAGATGTATATTGTCCCTTGAAAATGAAAAAAAAAAAATCAGAACAAACAATTTTGAAATTAACTTGCTCATGCAGTTAGCATATACATTTTTAACTTGACCATAGAAATGATTGAGTTTAAACAATGTGTACCTTACTACATAAAATAATGAAAACACTTCCAGTGACTGACAGTGGAAGAGTGGAAATGTTTCTATCATTTTCACTGTAAAATTATCATTTTTAAAATACTACAGGTATACAATAATTTCTTTGTTCAAGTTGATAACTTTAATGTTACTTCAAAATGAGCAAAGCATATTTCAATTAAAATACCAAAAAAAATAAAGAACAACTAATTCATTTTTTGCAACACAGATGGTGTATTTTTAGCATCACATAAGGTGTATCTCACAGTAATAAAACCATTTTTGTATATAAAACTATTTTTTGTATATTTTCCATACTTTTTATGAAAAAGAAATTTATGTAAACATATGGTCTTTAGATCACATTATAATCACTTTCCTCATTTCCCTAATCAAACAGAATTAAAACTCATTTAAAATTATAATTAACATACAGGACAAAAATCCTG